ATATATATATATATATATATATATATATATATATATATATATACACTTGTATCTGACAAGTAGCTGAAAAGGCAGAAAGAAGCTTAAATTACCAGAAGGGACCTGGAAGAGCTGAAATGAGCTATTAAAATAAGTGGGCTTAGCTGAAAAAGCTAAAATTTGCATAAAATGGCTAAATAGTAGCTAAAATGGCAAAAAAGCTGAAAGGAGCATAACAAGGTAAAAGTGAAAAGAAGTTAATTAGGCGGAAAGTAGTTAAAATTACCATTAAAATTTTGAATTTTTCTGGAAACACCTGAAATTAGCTAAAAAATGCAAAAAGAAAGTTAGCTGAACGGTTAGAACAAGCTTAAATTAGCCAAAGAAAGCAGAAAGACCACGTTTGCCAAATTAGGCTGAAAGAAGCAGAATTGATCCCAAAAATGTAAAAAGAAACATATATAGGTGACGTGTGTTTACGCAGTTTGGATTTATGAAAGTTCCTCAGTGACAACAAAAGTTCAACCATCTCATCTGGACAGTCTCACTTAAAGAAACTGGTCCAGATGAGGATTTAACTTTTGTTGTTGTTGTCTACCTGGATGATCGAGCTAACAAACCTTTTTTCCTCAGTGATGGAAACTAAATAAGGCAAGAACTGAACTGAAAATGATGAGGAGGGAGAGATCATTATAAATGTGCATTTATTTTATTCTATGAGCTTGAAGCTCCAAATAAATAGTTGATGTTTCATCAGTGGAGGAAACTAGTTGAATAATTAGAGGCAGTTATTGACAAGATGAAATAAGTGGAACAGCAAATAAAAAGAATAGATAGTATTTCAGTGGGGAGTGGTGGTGGAGAGGTTAGAAAGGGTGGGCCTGTGAGGTCGCTGGTTCAACTCCCCGGACCGACATTAAAATGTGGGTGGGAAAGGTGAAGCACCCACACCTGCCTCCACCTTCATTTGCCCCACTCTGAGCCCTTGAGCAAGGCCTTTATCCCCCACCATCTGCTCCCCTGGGTGTCCTAGATAGCAGCTCTCTGCTCCACACAGAGGGCTGTGGTAGCTCAGTGGTCTGTGGTTGCATCAGGAAGGACATCTGGTGTAAAACAATCACCAAGTCTTCGTGCAACTTAGTTCACTGTGGCGACACCTGAAGAAGGAGCAGCTGAAAGAAGAAGGAAAACAAGTCTCATTCTTATTCTAGAACAAAGAAGAAAAGTGTTGCATGATAAAAGTAAAAAAAAATTACTTTTAAAACAATAACTATTCCAACGTCACTAATTGTTCAAAGATCAGTTTAACTTACCATTTATTACATCTTTTAATTGAACGCCTGTTGTTACAGGACTACATGGCATTTTCTAGAGCAGGAGCTCGCATTGTTTACAAGCTTGTTGACAAGCAGGTCCCTCAAAATGGCGGTGGAGGACAAGGCACACATGACTGGAGTTTAGAAAGATCTGTTAGTTTGTCAGTCTGTCCAAAATTAAACTTTTTCCCTAAAGTGACGTCATTCAACGAGTGACCTGCTATCTGCAACATGTAAAATATTTACTAATCTTTTCACAGTATAAAGTGCAGCTTTTATACGTGTGGACATTTTTAATGACCATTTTCTTCACTAGGTGGCAGCAGAACCAACCAGAAGTTCTGCTGCAACTGGTACTGTAATAGGAGCCTTTTAAGGCCGCCTCCATGTGATTACAGATTTATTACCTCACATCAACAGTGTTCCTGTTAAATATAAATCTGTTACACGATGGTAAAACAACGCGCAGCTGTTCTTCTGACAGGCTTTCAGTAAATGGAGCAGCAGGACTTCATCCTAAAGTAAACACTAACCCAAGCTTCATTTTACAAACTGCAGAGAGCTAAAGGAAGTGGAGGCACAGCTCCCACTGAAAATTGCAATAGGTGGGGATGGGGGTGCCCCTGCAGAACAGAATCTATAAACATGAACAGAATATGAGGTCATGAAGGTATGGCCCCAAATGAAACTGAAAAAAAAGTCCACCATAAAATGACAGGCAGAAAACTCTTAAAAGCTGATGTTGGGGAATTTTTGGTCAAAGTTTATGGGTGTTTTTAACGTATTTTTCGGCCTATAAGTCCCAGTTTTTTGTATAATTTGCATGCCCTGTGACTTGTACACCGAAGCGACGTATTTACGTTTTGTTTTAATTTTTCCCATATTTATAAACCAGTTTTCGGCTGACATATGACCGTTTTCATTCATTCTGACTGAAAATATTGAACACTACCATTTTCAGCCCCTGTATGGCACTCAATATATGGCATGCTGTTGTGTCATGTAATAGGTGAACGTGGCTATTAATGACACAATTGGCTTGCCCTAGCCTGCCACCATCATTTGAAGCAACAGTCAAATCAGCTTCATTTTACTGCACCGCACCGGCAAGATGCAGCTAATTTGACCATTAAAGTGTATTTATTATGTAAAAGTGAGACTGAGACACACTTTGCTATACAGTCGAGCAAACAAATAATTATTTTAGGTGCTTATCTTGTTAAAGTTCAAAGAAATGCGCAGCATACCTCCTTTCTGATTTCCTCCCTGTCTGCGCGCTCCTGAAGCACCGAGGCAGTGGATACTTTTGAAATACAGCTGATTTGACTGTTAGTCTTTTTATTAAGGAGAAGTTCATCTGAGACAAACCTTTACTATAATTTCCAGCAAACAAATAATTGTTTTTAGGTGGTTTGTTAATTTTTGAAGAAATAGACAGTGAGTCGTCCCTCTGCGTGTACCTGTTTCCGTGTATCGGCTTTTGAAAATGCAGCAGATTTGACCGTCAAAGTGCGTTTATTAAGGAAAAGTTAGACTGAAACACACCTTTGCTATAATGTCGAGCAAACAAATAATTGTTTTTAAATGTTAATCTTGTTAAATTCTTGTTAAAGTCCTCCCATGCACGCTCCCGCGACCGTGATTTGGCAGCCAATCGATTTTTGGCACAACACCGGCCCACGTTGCTGGGTTGTCAGCGGTGACGCGCAACAAGCGTGCCGCGTCACCGCTGACACATAATAGATGTGACGTATACGGCAATGTCATGTGTTTATAGATTTTTCCACTTTATTAGACACATTTGGACTGACACGACTTATAGGGCGGAGCGATGTGTATGGCGGAAAATACGATACTAAGGCTGAGAATGTTAAGTGCCCATGAACCATATGTTTGGCTGGATGAGGAGCTGGTTTGAGGCTGCAGGCGCAGCTGTTGCTTCAACAGCCTGTGTGCTCGGAGGAGCTCACGAGCTTATAAAAACAAGCTTCACACACAGCTTGTGGCAGATTCTTGTGACTGAGCTTTATGTGTGTACTTCCTGTTTATCTGTGTAGCCTGTCCTGAGAATCTGTCCTTGCAAGTAAAACCAGTTCAAAATCTGTCCTCCAGTGTGGCTCCTTTGAGTAACTGAGATAAAGCGAGAATATTTTTCCTCCGACAGCTATAGGTACAAAAATACTTAAATTGTTTCTATTTTTTCTTTCCATTTGTTTAAACCATTTGAAAAGGTTTTACTTTCAGAATGACGTGTCTCGAAGATTATGTGCAAAGTTTCTCAACCACTCAGATTTTTGTTTTACAAATGGTGTGAGTTGGGAGGGAGGAGAGGGGGAGTTGTGCAGCTGTTACTAATACACATGCTCCAAGTCAGTATTTTGCAATGCATTGTGGTCTAGATATACTCATGCCCACTTCAGGGTCATTAAAATACACTTCGTCTAAACAATGTTCACATCTACCGAAGTTTCAGTTGTGCTGAAGTCATTCTGACACGAGACACTGATGCACGTTGAGGACATTTCACTATCACAAACTAAAATACCAGTAAAACATTT